GCAATAAATCTAACAAGTTCATCAGTTCTCAATTATGTGAAATTACAATTTGAAATATACATTTTTATGAACAGGAGAAAACACTGATTACGGTAAATGCAAAAGTGTGTTCTACTCCTTTGAAGTGTGATACATAATAATTCAGCTCCCCCAATATTCTAACAAAGTTTTTTTTTTAAAAATGTACTATCGCCAAAGAAGAAAAAAAATACTTAATTAAAATAATTATGTTACTAATTGAAGAAAGATATTTGACCACTTGATGTTTTCAGGTTGAAGTGTTTCAGTGGCCTCATGTGTTTGAGCAATTATTTCAAGTTTCTTACACTGCATGTAGAAACACAACTTAAAATGCAAATTTATTATTAGTTAGGAAAAGAAAATATGCTTGGTTTATTGACAATAGGTTAAGACATTGCTAATGCATTATTTCAAATCTCTCAGCAACAACTGACACTTGTCATAACCATTTTAAGGTGAAGAAAACTGAGGTTCAGAAAATTAAGTAACTTTGTCAAAATGACACAGAACTGTCACTTAAATAATGCATTGGTACTGAAGTCAGATCTGCCTGACAATTAGCTACTCATTATCACAATAATCAGCCTTAGACAAAACTTTTTGAAATGTTCACAGACTTATATTCCAGAAAGAAAGTTACAATCATAAATAAAACAAACTACAACAAAATAAGTAAACAAATAAGCACGTAAAGCAAAACCATTTCCATTTTGCTCAAGGGGCCAGGAAACATGTTGACTATCAAGATATAAACGACACTCAGAGAAAACAATTGTGTCCCTCTGAAATTAATGTCTGTCTTTAAATTCTTTGAAAATAGGATTATTTCATAGAAGAGCATTGCCATAGATAGGAAATCAGTTTGCATATTGGGCCCACGTGTTTTCATTTGACAGTTTCAGAGTGTCTATAATTTCCATAAGAGGTGATCAACTTACATTTGTACATGAAGTGCAACGACTGTCATTTAAGTGTCTTCTATATTTAAAGGGCATTCTTATCAAATAGCGCACTATTCAGAGAGGAAGTGAACAATTACACAGTCACTAGATCTTATGTAATCACTTCTGAAGCATTCAATGATTCTTTTAACTTTAATTTTTTATCATAGAGAAACAGAAAATATACCGCTATGGCATTTGCTTTACTGGGTCTAGAACTATCGATGCAGAAGCCAGATTCCATTTGCCAGGAAAAGTGACCAAGCTTTCCCACACTAACTCTACTACACATCATACAAAAGCCCTCTCTCCATGTTATAATTTGAGTGACTATCTCATCAATGTAAAGCTTGTGTTACAATACCAAGGGAAAGAATTATTTAAGGTAGCAAACTGCAGAAAGCACGTTAGTCCTTCTACTGAAAAAAAGAGAAATGATAAACAGAGTAATATATAATAACTCTGGAAAAATGGTCAGATTATCTTCTCTCAGTGAATCATTTTGATGCATTTTTCTTTTTAATCAATCATAGAGTTTCAGTCTACAAGATAATTTATTGAGTGGGACATAGGAAACTTCAGAACATACACACAATTTCTAGTAACAGCTGTTTTCCAAATCACACTAATATATAAATCAGAATCGCTTTTTATATGCAATGAAAATAAATATAGACAACAATTTACTAAGTAATATATTTATTGACTGCCCGTCCTGGTCTATCCCCTCATATCATAATGATATACAGAAAATAGAAATTATTTGGGCAATTGTTTAAGACTTACCAGAACAGTTTTCTCCATAATAAATAAAAAGTAAATATACCACAGTCCAAGAAATGTTACATATGTCTTTAATACTACTAGACACTTTTATAAATAAAACCATATTCTAAAAAGCATTCAGCCCTGGACTTCTGTGGTTGCTGTTGGATTTTTGACCAGACAAATCAGGTTTATAATCTTAGATAGGATATTCCTTAAATTTGGAGGGTAGCAATGTACCCCCTATTTGGAGAAAACCAGAACATCATACTGTTTTATATAATACGTTAAAATACACACACACACACACACACACCTGTAACAAATCCTTATATAACAATATTAAAATGATTTTCTTGTATGCATAAACAAGTATCAAAGTATTTAAAGTCCATCTAAGTAGCTCTCTAAAATCTGACAGTACAAAAATGAGATTTCCTTTCTTAAAAAATGTTGAACCATACCATTTTCATTGGTAGTTATCTAGCCAATATAAGTTTTCACTTTTTTACCTAATTTTATTCTCATTTTTGGAGATAATGAGGGCACAATCAATCTTTAGAATCCTTAATACTTATTGCAGTTAATTATATTTACTACCCTTAGTATATTACATTAATATTCTATTGTTCCATAAAAAGTATCACTAATTTAGCAGCTTTAAACAAACGTCCAATTATACTCTTTCAGTTCTGTAGAAGTACTCCAGGCTTGACTGTGTTCTTTACTATGGGCAAGTGCGGGTGAAAATCCTTGCAATTCTAGGACCAAGACCCCATTTTCCTGACGGCTGGTGAGCAGGGGTCGCCCTCACTCCTAGGCTCTCTCATTCTCTGGCTTCTCCCTTCACTCGCAACCAGAGACATCTCTCTGCTTTTAAAGGGCTCATGTGATTAGACTAGGTTTAGGTGGTTAATCTAATTTTGATTAACCCAAAGTCAATTGATTGGTAATCTTAATCACATCAGCAAATCTCTTTTGCTGGGTAACTTAACATAATCAGATGTGTGATATTTTATCCTATTCAAAACCCCAGGGATTGGGGCTGGAAGTCTTGGCTACCCTCTTAGGATTCTCTCTGTAACACTTATGTTCCTTGTATAAGCAACTTTAACACCTGGAACACAACATTACCATAAAAGTCTATTGACTTACTATGTTTGTCAAGTTTCTATGAGCATTTGATTATAATTTGGCACAAACTATTTTTGAATTAAGTAGAAAAATTAAAAATTATTTTGAAATATTAAATGATGGGTAAATAGTAAAAGCTAGAGTTTTATTTTCCCAAAACATTAACTATTAAGTTAATTACCTTCATTTGTACATTTTTATAAGTCTTTTGACTCTATCTCTGATCCTTTTTTAGCAAATGATATGTGAAGTGATTATTTGTTAACTAGATTGATTGAATCATTCCACAATGGAAACATGTATCAAAACATCACATTCTATCCCACAACAGTTATTATTTTTCAATTAAAATTATATTTAAAAAGTATCAAAACTTAAATTAGAAATAAAACTTGATTATTACATCAAATAGTGTGGTTTTATTACATCAAACCGGACCAGGAGTTAGGAGGTGTTGATCTTGCTCCAACTCCATTACTAACCAGCCAAATATCTGGGCAAGTCACTTATCACAGTCATGGAACTTTGGTTTTGAAAGGATTTTCCTGTTACCTATGCCAAAACATTACTTGATTTTTAATTATTATACAAAGTCCCTGCCAAACTCTGCTTGGATTCCTCCTGTGAAATCCCATTTGATCTCCATTATTAAAACAAAACAACCTTTTCTATATTAAATTGAAAGCTATATTTCTCTAGTTTCAAATATTCAGATAAATTTCAGTATTTAAAACTATGCACATTAAATCTTATTCCTCTTTCATATGACTGAACTTCAAATATGTGAAGATTAGCATATGACTTTTCTTCTAGAACTACATAAGTTCATTTATTCTGCAAGTTTGAATTGAATAGCAGGCATTCTGGTTGACACTGGGTATCCACATAAATAAAGCCCAGCTCTGATGGAGCTAAAGTTCCAACAGTTAGAGTTATCTCCCTTCATTCTCTTCTGCTGGTGGTTTCCTGGACCAGAGTCAGAAGCAGATGCCATAAGACCCTTATGTCCCCCTTGCTTTAGTATCCGGGTATATACGAAATACTTGCTCACAGAGGCATATTTCTATACCCCGTTGTTAGCCCATATTGAACCTCGCTGTCCTGACTCAGCTTATTCATCTTATAAATGATCTAGACACTAACAGACTTTCAATGTTCTCTCTGGCTTTGGTTTTCCAAATTCTAAGAAATCTGAGTTAATCACATTCTAATTAAAGGGGACCATCTATGTTACTATTCTCAAATAAAGGAGATGCCAGGTATTATATTTTCTATTTGTCAAAAGTCTGAAAAGCAATATGTAATTTATATAAATTTTAATAGAACCCAACTAAGCTATTTAGCACTTTGATCGCACAATATGGTTTAGTCACCAGTGTCATTCAAACAGTCACCACAAGCCATTTCAAGTTTAACGCACGCTTTGATAGTCTGTGCTCATAAGCTGTTAGGAGCTCCATAAAAATAGAAAGCCCACATACGCAGTAATCTCCGGTTCTTGCTTTTCTCCGCAGTATTCAAAGCCACTTCCTCTCCTCTAACCTTTAATTTAACAGAGAAAGCCTGTCACAAAAGAGCCATCTTTGTCCAGCTCTGCAGGCTGCTTCCCCTTTGGGTCACGGAATGCCGAATTTTGTAACAGACAGGTACACCCGCTATTGTTGTTCTGAGATTGTACAAAAGACAGCCTATTTATTTACCAGCTGGAAGAAAAAGGTGTGTTATTTACACTCTCACGAAATCTTTCTCTTAATACTGTGGTGACAAAGGTGCTGGTTATGACAGCAAGATGTGGCACATATCTTTCCAGTTGAAGGGAAGTCTTACAAAATCTTTCCTTCACAGAGTTTAAGAAAAATGAACAGCACTTGCATGTGAATACACATTTTGTGAAATAATAATAATAAACTGCAGTCTAGATCTTTTATAATTCATGTAGTGGATATTTATGGTTTTATGTTACCGATAGCTTCGGACTAACAAAAAAACAAAAAAAAGAACTACGTATTTCTTCATAATGCAATCAATGTTTTCAAAGATTTTCTCAGATGCAAAGAGAACTGCAAGTGCCAAAAGCTGGAACCTGGACCAAAATCTCTGAATCTTTGTAATTGGAAATTAGGGAAAAATATGCCACAATTCCATTTTATATGCAAACGCTAGAGATATATTCAAGGGAGCATCAAGTAAAAAAGACAAAAAATATTTCCTGAAATAGCAACGCCCTCAAAGATGATGCTTCTTTGTTTCTTAGCATGAATACTCGGCCACCAAATTCTACCCGGTCTCTCTTTAATGTTTCCTTCATGGTCGACCACCGTGACCCAGTCTCAGACACTGGGATTCTTGCCGTAGCTTCCTACTTAGTCTTCTACTTGCTGTGTCGACTCCTCTGCCTTTTCCTCAAAGGAAAAAGCTATTTTCCTAAAACGTAAGTCTGGTCATGTCACTTTTCTGCTTCCTTCTTCTGTGTATCACTAAAGCACACAGGGAGAAGTCCTAGTTCTTCACGGAGGCCTACAGAGACCTTCAGCATAATAACCCAACACTCTCCCATCTCCAAGCTCAAGCTTTTTCACATGCAATTACTTTAATTCCTGAAAAAGCATACTTTCTTATGAGTCCATGACTTCATAGATGCTATTCTCTCCGCCTGGAGAGCATTCTCACCTTGTCTACCTGACACAATCCTATTTCTCATTAACTCTTCAGCCAACACCCTGACTGCTATTCGGTTCCACCTTAGACTTACCCTACCAGGTATATGTGGTCTTTTCTCTCACTCTGTTATACTTGATAAATACCTCAATGATATTACCTTATTGTTTAGGTTAATTTGTTACATAATTTTCTAGAAACAAAGCTAAAAACTGGAGGACGGGGGCTGGTGCGCTTTTCCATTTCTCTGGCATAGTGCTTGACATTATATAAAGTCACTGAATCAATTAATTAAATAACAAACTGTTTCGACCTCAATAAATAGTCAGCTACAAATCTAATGAATCAATAATGTTTTCTTGCAACTTTAGAACTGAAGAATAAGAATAAAAGGAGAATAAGCAAAGAGTCAACACTGTATAACCATGATGGCTACTGGTGCAAAATGATGATCCTCAATATTTTTGGAAGATATTTTCATAAACAGGATGAATATCTACTTCATCTTATTCTACAGAAGCGTTTCCAAAATGATGGCCTGAGTTCGTATCTGGTCCATGGCAAATGTAGTTAAATACATATAATACTTATAATTTTTACAATGTATTACAACACTTAAAAATCAGGGTGATCAATATAAAATATACATTTTTGGTGTGTTATGAAAAATTGGAGGATGTGGTAATGCAGGACCCACATTTTCTCATAACAACAAAGACAAGGAACCCAATGGGCAGTTGAGTGGAGGCTGCCCCCTTCGAATGAGCAGGGGCTCTTCCAGGTGCTGGGATCACTGGCCCCCAGCCTTGCGACACCTGTATATTATATGCCAGACATACATGATTGTAAGCCCCAGCTAATTTCTTCCATAGATATGATTTTACATTAGAAAGCAAATGGCAGATACTAACAATAAGAGCATAAGTGTAATTATGCTTAGAATGATGGCTCTGGCATAACATTTCAATCCATTTTTCAGAGACGTAGACTTACCTGAAAGTCTATTGTCCAGGTTATCAAATGATCTTTTCAACACACTCTGCATATTGTTATTTATGACATTGAAAGTTAGATTGGGCAGGAGAAAATAAGTTGCTTTTCAAAGCCAAAATAAAATCATAGCTTACAATTGCACTCTGAAATATATTAAGCATGTCCAGGTGCTTCAAAACAATGCACGTTAGAGACACTTCTTAAGTACACTGTCAAGGCTGGGTTTCATATTAAGACTAACCTTGGATCGTGGAGGTGCCCGGATATACCACTTGCAATCAACCGCCTCGCTGGCAGAAGCTTTGCCTTCCTTCATAATTTGTATGGACTCCACAATTCCTTCAGGACCGCCCATCTCAAACTCACACACTAAATAACAAAATGCCAAACACATACAAAGAAATGGAACTTGAATAATAAACCAAAAGCATATTTCATAGCAGAATACAAAGTCCTCTGAACATTATTAAATATCTATTGTACCAACCTGGTAATGGTTTCAAAACTCCAAGGTCCTTAAAGTCAGGATCTTAAAAATTGAGAAAAAGAAAATTAGTCCTATTTTGCATTTATTACTTGCAATGATTTTGAGTAATATGCCATTAAATTATCCAGGAATTTCCCTTAAAAACACACTGGGGAAAATTAAATGGTGAAATGAATAGTGTATAGTATTATTAGAACCGAAATGTTAATTTATATGTTACACTTTTATTATAAGGTTTTTCTCAATACAAAGGACACCATTTTAAAAAACCTAATGCAATTCCTGCATATTACTATCAAATCAAAATCTTACTCATTATCTGTAACTCCATAATTGGACAAAAGATGTTTTCTGAAAAATGTACCCATAGGTAATTCAGGGTTTGGGTCAACTTCCATGTATTCCAAATACAATTCTTTTGTCTGATTCAAAATATTCTGTTGTTGGAACACAATTTTCAAATAGAATATTAGAAGCACAAAGTTAAGATGTAAAATCTAGGACTCCTCTCTTCTGGCTGACTGAACTATCTTGTTTTCATTAAATCTTCATGTCTAACATTTCACACCATGCTAGCTTTCAAAGTATTCCTCAGTATTCTATCTTGTCAACTCAACACCCACTCTCCCCGTTCCTCTTCTGAGTTCAGGTATTTGTTTTCCTTATCATTTATGTGTTTCAGAGGAAGCTTGTTTTATCATAAGCCTCAAAGGTTCCTAATTGCTGTAAGCCAAAAATGGGGGTCTCATTCCCATTTCTTGTAACTGATTTTGAGATAGGTATGCAGCAATGAAATACAAAGATGAGCTTTTTTGAAGTCTTCTGGTAAAGTTTTCATCATACTAGATAGAGACAAGGTATATCCAGTTTTTCTGGCTTGCACTATAGTCATGATTGTATCAGACTCTTTGGAATCATGTAATAGCCAATTCCTGATGTTGAGAGAATCTTGTACCTAGAAAACCCCAAAGACTCCACCAAGAGACTCCTGGAATTGATAAATAAATTCAGCAAAGTCTCAGGATACAAAATCAATGTACATAAATCAGTAGCATTTCTATATACCAATAATAGTCAAGCTGAGAGTCAAATCAAAGACTACAAAGAAGTAGTAGCTACAATAGCTACAAAGAAGATAAAATACATAAAAATATACCTAAACAAGGAGGTAAAAAATCTGCACAAGGAGAACTATGAAACACTGAGGAAACAAATCCCAGAGGACACAAACAAATGGAAAAACATATCAGGATCATGGATTGGTACAATCAACATTGTTAAAGTGTCCACACTACCAAATATGATTTACAGATTCAATGCAGTCCTCATCAAAATACCAACATGCTTCACAGATCTAGAAAAAATAATTCTGTATTTCATCTGAAACCAGAAAAGAGCCCAAATAGCCAAAACAATCTTAAGCAAAAATAACAACTCTCAAGGCATCACATTATCAGACTTCAAACTATATTAAGGCTACAGTAACCAAAACAACATGGTATTAGTATAAAAATAGAGACATAGACCAATGGAACAAAAATAGAGAACCCAGACATAAAACCACCTACCTACAGCCAACAGATCTTTGACAAAGCAGACAACAATGTACACTGGGGGAAAAAAAGCCCTATTCAATAAATGGTGCTGGGAAAATTGGATAGTCACATGCAGAAGAATAAAACAGGAACCCTATCTCTCACCATGCACAGAAATTAATTCAAGATGGATAAAATACTCAAATGTAAGGCATGAAACCATAAGAATTCTAGAGAAAAATGTAGGAAAAACTCTTCTAGATATCAGCCTAGGCAAAGAATTTATAACTAAGACCCCAATGGCAATCACAGCAACAACAAAAATAAATAAATGGAATTTGATTAAACCAAAAAACTTCTGCAAAGCTAAGGAAATAATCAACAGAGCAAGTGGACAACCTACAGAATGGGAGAAAATATTTGCAAACTATATATCCAATAAAGGGCTAGTAACCAGAATCTGTACAGAACTCAAACAAAATAGCAAGAAAAAAAAATCCCATCAAAAAGTGGGAAAAAGACATGAGCAGAAGTTTTTCAAAAGAAGACAGACAACTGATCAACAGACATATGAACAAATGCTCAGTATAACTAATCATCAGGGAAATGCAAATTAAAACCACAATAAGATATCACCTGACTCCTGTTAAAATGGCATTTATCAAAAAGTCCAAACACAATAGATACTGGCATGGACGCAAACAGAAAGGAATGCTTATACGCTATTGGTGAGACTACGAATTAGTACAACCTCTATGGAAAGCAGTATGGAGATTCTTCAAAGAATTCAAAGCAGACCTGCCATTAGATCCAGCAATCCCACTACTGGGTCCTTACCCAAAGGAAAAGAAGTCATTTTATCAAAAAGACACCTGCACTCAACTGTTAATTGCAGCACAATTCATAACTGCAAAGATGTGGAATCAATCCCCGTGCCCATCAATTCATGAGTGGACCAATAAAATGTGGTATACGTATGCCACGTAGTACTACTCAGCCATAAAAGGATGAATTAGTGCCTTTTGCAACAATTTGAATGGAACTGGAGAGCATTCTCTTGAGTGAAGTATCTCAAGAAAGGAGAAACATGCTAGGATCACACATGTGCACAGAGGAAAGTAAAACTCAGTGGAAATCAAGCAGGGGAAAGGGGAGAGGGAGGAGGGGATGGGCAAAAATGTCCTGATGGGTACAATGAACACTGTTTCAGTGATGGGCTCACCTATAGCTGTGACCCAAGCATTATAAAAGTGATCCATGTAACCAAACATGTGGCTGAAATTGGACTTTTTGCTATTCGAAACAATACACATCCTTACAGCCTCAGCCACTCTGAGTCGGATTTTTGTTGGCTTATAAGTGGGTGAAGGCATCAGTGGCTTCCTATGTTGGAGATACTTGGTATACAATTTAAAAGCTGATTGTGAAATGTAATAATTCATTGTTATTACTATGGTATTAGCTATGAAGTAAAAACTTTTGGCTTTAGATATATTTTGTGAGACACTGCTCACTCCAGTATGAAGAGGTAGCATTCTTTCTGGAGGAAATTATTTCTGGATATTAAGACCATGTGTGTTTAGATATGTGTGTATCTAAGTGTGCTTCTTTGTGTGTCTGTGTGCGTGGAGGCACCAAAGTTGTAATTGCAGGCTGACTTGTGTTGGTTTAGTTATTTTCGTTAAAGGTTGTTTTTGCTGTTTGTTTTCTGTTTTGTCAAACAGGGATGTGGACTGACCTGCGGAGACTGATCACCCACACTGCAACCTGACTGTATCGGCCGAGACTCGTTTTGTTATGGGACACAATTAGAAAGTGTTAATAAATTTTGAATCAAGATACAAATTCATTTG